TTTGCTCGGACTCTCAAGTCCCCAGTGGAGTCGCCAACTGTCGCGCCCCATTTTTTGATAAATAAATAAATGTTTAAAAATGTATTTTTGTGATTGGAAAATGAATCGTGATTTAAAAGAAAAATGGGTCTAAATGGGGTTTTGAGAATGCGACGATTTGACCCAAAATTATAGTTAAAAAGGGTTTTTAAAACTAAATACGGAGTCGCCACTTGATAATGAGTTAAGGTGTACCAAGTCACCTAAAAAATGTATTTTTAAAGAAAAATAGGAAAAAGTAGTGAGAAACCCTTTTTAAACGACTCCTAATCTACGTAAACCAATGAAAAAGGTTCGGGAGTCACATTTGACAAAGGGGAAGGCAAGGATAAAATCCAAGGCACCCCTTTGACCTAGCCAAGGCTAGTTGCATGATTTAATCAAAGATTTTCTTGTTTTAACCAAAGAATTTATTACATTTGGATGCACTACATGAATGCAAAAAGAAGGAAAAAATGCAAACCTAAATTCTAAAATGTCTCTTGTAAGGTTTTTGGTCCCAACCACATGAATTGTGGCGGCCAATAAAGGAAAGCCTTATAGAGGTCGATTAATGCAAATGATGGCTAAAGTGCAAGTGTGCAAGTGTATAAAAAGGTGAACGTGTGAAATTGTATGAAAAATCCAAGTGTTTGTGTGCAAGTGTATGAAAAGGTGCATGTGTGAAATTGTATGAAAAATCCAAGTGTTTGTGTGCAAATGAAGGGATAAAAGGTGTACGTGTGCAAATGGGAGGAAAAAATGAAAGTGTAATGATAGAGTGGATGCATGAACCTAGGGAATTCATGCATAATGGGTACGGGGAGACCTAAATCGTGACTCCATTTGCCCTTTGATAGAGAGAATACAAGCGTGCTAAGGCTTAGAAAAAGCCACACTCGTCTATATCCCATATTTAAGGGGACTCTCAAGCAAATGAACCCTATAACTAGCATGAAATGCAAAAATCCTAAAATGGAGGGAAAAGGGGTTCGAGGATCATGCCAAATGATAAAACTAAGGAAAATGCGTGATATGTGGTGAACAAGCAAATGATGCACTAACAAGAAAAAAAACCCTAAGGGTCTAGCGTTGGACTAGCCCATTCTATGAATTCCGACTAGCGTTGGACTAGTGGAAACGATAAAAGAAGCCACAACTAGCGTTGGACTAGTGTGGTGACGTACATTCATCCATTCCATTCATCCACACTATGGAAAGCAAGTAGACATATCAAATACTCATAAACACGTAGCACGTAACATTTAGCAGGCTCGACTAGATGCAAGGCCCTAATAAAGCAAGTAACAAGTAACACATAGGCATGCAACCAAGCTAATGAACTTACTACATTCACTAACTAAAACAAAAGGGGAAAGGGAAAATGGACCAAATTGCTTGCCACAGCCCTATCTATTACAAGCCAAGAGGTGTACACATACCCCATTTTAAAGAACAATTTAATAAAAGCAAGAAGGAATGAAATAATGGAACTAAAGAATGGTAATGAAAGCAAATTAGGCATGTGATTCACACTTAGCACATTGGATCACATAGGAGAGACAAAAGGGATAAAAGAAATTATACCTCCCTTGAAATGAAGCTCTAATGGAGTGAAATCAACTTATTTACCCTCCAAAATAATAAAGGAGTCAAGGTACCAATTTATTTGGCAAATAATCACAAAGGATAAAAAATAAACATGAATTTGAACCAATTAAATCATGCCAACGACCCACATTTAAGAAGTCAAAAGAAAAAAGGACTTGATTGCAAAAATTAATAAAGTCTTGGGGTCAAAATTAAAGAAAAATAAAGTTAAGGGACCCAATTGCAATTAAATTAAGGACCGAATTGAAAGTAGTTGAAAATATCCAGGACCACAGTAAAGTTAAAGGAAAATACAGGGACTGATCTGCAAAATAGTTTTCTGGTTTCTTAATGGATCAAACCGTTGGGCCATTTCCTTTATTTGTTTGGGCCAAAGCTTCCCAGCCCAACGGACATCCAAAACAAAAGAGAATGGGCCATTTCATTAAATTGACTCAAAGAAAAATCCAACAAACCTGATGGGCTTTGATTCTTTAGCCCAAGCCAAAACTCCAAAAGAAATAAACTAAATCCATTTTTACAAACCCAATCAAATAGAATTACCCACAAAACTTAAACCATAATACTAAACCTAATAAACATGAACAAATCAACAAAAATATTAAACCACAATTATGGTCTAAATTCCAGAATTAATCTGTCCAGAAAACCATATAAAATATGCAAACAGAGGACTAAGCTCAAAAGAATGAAATTAGTTCAGCTTTTCCAATTTTTGGGGTCACATCAGAACAGGGGGGAACTCGAGGGGTTCATATGCAACAAAACAGGGATCCAATTGAAGGAATTACAATAGCTTTGGGGGCAAATATGAAGTTCCGAGACTTCTTTGGGGTTAAATTACAAAGAAATGGGAAATGGGGGGACTGAAATCGCAGAACTTGTACAAACAATCGTCTTCTCCAAAACAAGTCCCAGCATCCGGCTGTTTTCATCTTGCTTTGTCTACGCGTGAATACCAGAAAATTCTATTCCGACAACTCTCCAAGGTGCAATTCGCAAGCTCCCTCTTATACAAATTTCAGGCCATTAATTCATATCCATACAAAGGGAAAAGGCAGAACCAGAAACGGAAAACAAAGACAGTGTCGCATGCTAACATATCAGGATCAAAATTCTTCTTTCTACCCTTGAAATCAACTATTATGTTCTGAAAAGCATTGAAATTGCTGTCCATTTGTTTCTTCACATGCACAAACGCAGACCAGTCATTTTCCGGGCATAACATTCAGTCGGGTATTTCATCGAATACCAAACGGGCACACAAAATTGTAGCTAGTTTCTGCTCGAATGAATCTATAACCCGCCCAAAATTTTTATTAGCAACTCAAGACAACACAACCCAATGAATCCAGAGAGCATTCATGCCCGAAATTGTAAATAATCAATGAGAAAAATGCAACAATAACTCTCTGCTTTGAAAGTCTTAAAGACTCAGAAAAAAAAATAAATCGAACATAGAAGGCTGGCTTACCTCATTTCCTGGGTGAAAATCTGCTGGTGGCAGTGAAGGATTGACGGTAAGGTGGTGGGTTCCAGCGCTACGGCAATCAGCAATTCCTCCGCCCCATTTTTCTGCCTGAAATTCCTCCTCCAGATTCCAATTTCAGCCACAATTCCTTACAACGGTTTCTTACGGCGACAATTCATGGACAGCAGCGGCGGGTTCAAGCGAAGGGGAGGCTCCGGTTCTTGGGCAAGCGGTGGAAGTGTTGGATGGGCAGTCGGTTTTGTAAAGGGGCAGAGAGAACCCCTGCTATTCCGACGGTTGCGATGGCAACAATGGCAGCGGAAGTTGAAAGGTGGCGGCGGGGCGGTAGAAAGTAGTGATGGCAGACAGCAATGGCAGTGAGATGCGGACTAGTGGTGGTTTGAGCAGACAGCGTGAAGGGCTTGCGTTGGAAACGGGAATTATCTTGGGAAATTGGGGGAATTCGAAGAAGGATGGTAGAGAGCGAGTGGTAGCAGCCGGTTGAGATAGGGGGGAATTTTACAGTGGTGGTTGGAGAATTTTCTTTCATCGGATGATTCAAGTTTAAGCCCCCCATTTCTTTTTCCGATTAGTTTTCTGGTTTCTTCCTCCCCAGATTGCAGCCTTGCATTTTTCGCCTTCACGAAGTTCCCCTTTTCTTCCCATGAAGTTCCTTGTCCGCCGCCCTCTTTTTCTCTGGTTTCTCTTTTCTTTTTTGCTTTTTTTAGCTCTCCTTCTTAGCCGAGAGCTTTCTCGGTTCTTTTTCTTCTCTCCGTTCCCCTCGTTCTTTCTTTGTTTTTTTTCTTCGCCCAAAAGCCTCCGCAGACATCCCCTGTATTTCTATGTCCGCCCAAAAAAATTTAGCCGCCGTAAGCCTCCCCTGCTGTTTTTTCCTATCCTCTGTTTTTGCTCTTTCGACACCACTCTCGGCCTTTTTTCTTCTTACCCTCTCTCAATCTCCTTCTCAGCTAAAACCTAGCCGACCCCTTCTAGATTCATCCTCTCCTCCAGGTGTCCTAGACACCTGGCCTCTTCAGCCAAAAATTTCCCCCAGGACCTCTCGCAACTTTCATTTGCAAGCTGCGGCAAAAATGCAGCTTTTGGCTTCTTTTCTTTTTTTTTTTTTTTTTTTTTTTTTTTAAATTAATGATTTAACAAAAATAATAGTAAAATAAACAAACTAAAAATAACAAAATTACCATTTTCGACCTTTTCTTTCATTTTTCCATTTTTCATCATTTTCCATTTTTTCAAAAATAAATTAACAAAAATAAACCGAAATGCCAAAAGATTGAATTTGAACGTATTTTTGTGAACAATTTTCCTTTTTTTCTCTTTTTCATGATTTTCTTTTTCCCCTTTTTTCATTTTTCACTTTTCCTTTTTTTTCTTTTTCTCTAAAAATTCTACGCTAAACTTACAAAATAAAAACTACAAAAACAACTAAAAACTAAAAAGGGAATAAAACTAAATAAAATAAAACCTAAAAGGGCTAGACAAACACATAATGAACTAAAACGCAAATCATCTAAACACAAAGCATTAATTCAAAATTTGGTGTCTACAGTTTGCCCCTCTTTGTCTGAGTTTTGAAAAAACTTGAGACAAAGAAATAGACACCAAATACCTACCTGCTTTATCTGGTGGCGAACGTCATGAACGGTGGACGTTTTTAGAAATGGGGACTGACCCCTCTTGACAAAACTTAAAGTGTAATTGATTTAGATCAGGAAATTAAAAGCGGGACCGACCCGAACAAAATTAAAAATGGGACTGGCCCGAACAGGAATTAAACGGGACTGACCCGAACAGAATTTAAACGGGACTGACCCGAACAAGAATTTAAAACGGGACTGACCCGAACAGAAATTAAACGGGACTGACCCGAACAGAAATTTAAACGGGACTGACCCGAACCAGAATTAAAACGGGACTGACCCGAACGAATGGAATTTTAAACGGGACTGACCCGAACAGAAATTTAAACGGGACTGACCGAACAGGAATTTAAACGGGACTGACCCGAACAGAATTTAAACGGGACTGACCCGAACAGAATTTAAACGGGACTGACCCGAACAAGAATTTTAAACGGGACTGACCCGAACAGAATTTAAAACGGGACTGACCCGAACTGGAATTTAAAACGGGACTGACCCGAACAAAAATTAAAGATGGGACTGGCCCGAACAGGAATTAAACGGGACTGACCCGAACGAAAATTTAAACGGGACTGACCCGAACAGAAATTTAAAACGGGACTGACCCGAACATAAATTAAACGGGACTGACCTGAACAGAAATTTAAACGGGACTGACCCGAACAGAATTAAAACGGGACTGACCCGAACTGGAATTTTAAACGGGACTGACCCGAACCAGAATTAAAACGGGACTGACCCGAACAGGAATTTAAACGGGACTGACCCGAACAGAATTAAACGGGACTGACCCGAACAAATTTAAACGGGACTGACCCGAACAGAAATTAAACGGGACTGACCCGAACAGGAATTTAAACGGGACTGACCCGAACAGAAATTTAAACGGGACTGACCCGAACAGAAATTAAAAACGGGACTGACCCGAACAGAAATTTAAACGGGACTGACCCGAACAGAAATTAAAACGGGACTGACCCGAACAGAAATTAAAACGGGACTGACCCGAACAGAAATTTAAACGGGACTGACCCGAACAGAAATTAAACGGGACTGACCCGAACAGAATTTAAACGGGACTGACCCGAACAGAAATTTAAACGGGACTGACCCGAACAGAAATTAAACGGGGCTGACCCGAACAGAATTTAAAACGGATGAATTGAAGTGAGATGGAGTGTTGGTGGGATTGACTCATGTTTATTGGTGATGCAAATGAAAGGAGTGAAATGAAGTGTTAATGGGACTGATTCACGTTCCAGTGGTTGTGAAAATGAAATGTCTTGACAATCGGACAGTGGGATCAAACCCGAACCTGCCGTGATGAACTTGATTTGATTTTTGATTTTCCTTTTCCTTTTTTTCTTTTTTTTTTTTTGATTTTTGATTTTTTTGATTTTTTGATTTTTTTTTTTTTGATTTTTTTGATTTTTTTTTTTTTGAGAAACTTTCCAAAGATAATTTGCCCCAGTATGAAGAATTGGTCAGTGGGAATCGGTCAGTGGTATAAAGCACGGTCAGCGGGATAAAACCCGGTCCTGCCGAGATTGGCGGGATGATACTCGGTCCCAATTGATAAAAGCGGTCAGCGGATAAAACCGGCCTGCCGAGGTCGGAGGGATAAAACCCATGCCAACGAAAATAAAAGCGGTCAGTGGGATAAAACCCGAGCCTGCCGAGGTCGGAGGGATAAAACCCGTGCCCTGAAAATAAAAGCGGTCAGTGGGATAAAACCCGAGCCTGCCGAGGTGGCGGGATAAAACCCGTCTCCAATGATAAAAGCGGTCAGTGGGATAAAACCCGAGCCTGCCGAGGTCGGAGGGATAAAACCCGTGCCCTAACGAAAATAAAAGCGGTCAGTGGGATAAAACCCGAGCCTGCCGAGGTCGGAGGGATAAAACCCGTGCCCTACGAAAATAAAAGCGGTCAGTGGGATAAAACCCGAGCCTGCCGAGGTCGGAGGGATAAAACCCGTCCAACGAAAATAAAAGCGGTCAGTGGGATAAAACCCGGTCCTGCCACCCAATTGGTCAAGAAATTGAATTTGATTTGTCAAGGAACAAGAAATTTGATTTTCCAAGAAACAAGAATTTGAACTTGATTTTTGATTTTTGAATTTTGAATTTTTTCTGATTTTTCGAGAGAATCTTTTTCAAAATAATTTGCCCTCAGTGTAGGGCCCTTTTCCCTTCTTTTTCTCTTTCTTCGGCATCGGCCTTCCACGTCACCAGATGCTCTTTCGTCGATTTCAACAATGAATACCTGCACAGGGGCTTACCGAAATATGACATGCATTCACATTTACATGAAAAGAGCAGCGTGATTGATTTGAAAGATGCATTATTTGATTCTTGGACGAAATTCTCAATTGGACTAACAAAAATATTTGCCCCTGTGTGAGCTTATTTTGCGAAACTTCGCAAATAAAAATTTTGCCCCAGTGTGGGCCCATTTGATTGCAAAAATTGGTTTGGATGCTTCTCCATTTATTTGCACAGGGTAAGCAATTGCTTTTCCTAACATGAAGAAAATTGAATGTCTTGCTTAAACTGATATAACACATTCCATGATGAATTTCTCAAAATAATGCCAAATTACGAAAGATTTCTTCCCCACTTTAGCATCAACGCTTTAGGTAATGGGTCACCATTTCTTGTTGGTTCATCTGTCAGGACCAATCAAGTGATCTGATTTTTGAGGGGGTTAAGGGAAATGAGAAGACGAGATTTGTTTGGTTCTTGTGCCCAAATTTGTAATTCCTTCAATGCCACATCTTAGTGAAAGCAAAGAGTTTGTCACCCTTATTTTTCAAGAAAACTTAGTCAACATACAAGCTTTCTAGGCATGCAACGTATGGGCAGAAGTGATAGCTAAACATGTGGAAACGGGTTATACCCTTATGATCACAAATGATTTGATGAATTTCTTATGAGCATGATCCTCACTTTGGATTGTCATGAAGGAATAAGTCAACGATGGACTTTATTGGCTTGTAATGTGGCTTGAAAACGATAGTTAAAGAATAAGACTTTCAAGGATATTGCACCATAGATCGCCTTTTTCCAAAAATTGCCCCTATTTTGAACTTAAAGATCTCAAACTTTGTTTGCATTTTTCTCATCATTCACCAAGGATTTCAGAGTCGATATATTTTTTTGCATTTATTTTTCTTGCTTCGCTTTTTGCCTCTCTTTTTTTCGAGCTGATGGGTTTCCTCATACCCGAGTAATTCAGAAATACAGCTAAAATTTTCAGCATCAGAAATTTTCTCGACAAGGCCATTGCAAAGAACAGAAGTCAGGACTTTCGGCTTTTGTAATGGGGTCTGGTGGGGTGTTTAAAAAAGTTAAGGCTTGAAGGCAGATTTCAAGAACGGTTTGAAAAATCTGAGATCGCATTGTTGCACCAACCCTATTTTTAGGATTAAATCAGAATTTGCCAGAGCTTGTGCTCAATTGAGGCTTTT